AAGGAAATAAATCAAGTAAAACGATAAAATAAATTTAAAAAATATAGTAAAGTAAAAAGTAAAATAAATACACGGACAAATCCAGGCAGATTGAAAATATCCTAGTTTCCCGTTCAAATCGACGTTAAATATCGGTTTTGCGTCACATAAAGGCAGCATCTGGTATAGCTTAATGGTTAGGGTCTTCGGTTTGTGATAGGCAGGTCCCGGGTTCAATCCCTAAGGTAGGTAAACATTTCTAATCTTCAAAATCGGGTAAATTACGTCCCAGTGGTTTCATTATTCTTATTTTTCATGGTTTCAAAATTTATTTCCACAATTAACCCTTTTCCACCATTCCCTAGCTGCGAACCCCTAAATTTTCTATAGCCGGCGATTGAGAATTCCTACAGCCAGCCATAGGAATTCTCAATCGCCGGCTATAGAAAATTCCTATCGGTAAAAGGCCATGTTTCAATTTACCATAGGATTTTTCCTATGGCCGGGCTATAGGTAATTTGTATGGCTTATTTTTACCAGGGAACAGAGCGAGCGATCTCATTCATTTTGACTGCCGAGTGATAATGTTTTTAAACTTTTGAAATTCACCGCTAATAACCGAAAGAAAAACTCCTACAATTCTCGATGATCGTGACCATTGCAACAATCGGAAAATAACGAAATCACTGCAACTTTAAGCTCACACTATTTTTCTAGGAGCTAATTTACTAGGGAAGGAGTTGCTTCGTAAAGTTGTACCCTAAGATAAAAGTCATCTGATTTCATGACAAAGAGGTACCTAATTAAAGGCCTTGTCCACACGAGCGCAGTTCGCGGAACTTATTCCTCGAACTTGCTCAGTTCCCGGAACTTATTCCTTGAAACGAGGCATGCTGTCCACACGGGTTCGTCCGAACTGGAACCGGAACTTCAAAAAAACTATACAATTATTGCAAAATAATAGATTATAATACGGCTGCCAAAGTAACAAAAATAAATGTCAAGACGCATATAAAGGACGTAAAAAACAAAAACAAACAAATTCACATCAAAAGAAACATATGCAGAAGCTTGGAGTACGGGGGAAGTTCCGGGTTTTGGAGGAATAAGTTTTTAGCTCAGCTAAAAACTATTGTTCCAGGAACAAGTTCCTCGAAATAAGTTCCGCGAACCGCGCTCGTGTGGACAAGGCCTTACATTTCCTCATGCGGAGATATCTCTGATACTCCGGCAAGGAAAAGGGTAAGAGTAAAGGAGCACCATCCTCAATGATACGCTTTATTTAAACGCCTTTTTAGCTACATAGCGACCGAGGAAGTGAATGGGTCCATTTCCCGATGTGCCCCGGGCTCCATGTGAAATTCATTTATTGGATAATGGACAAGTTTGGGAGTGAAATTCTCAGAGCAGTTCTGACGTGCTAAGGAAGAACGCCGTATGAACCTTCAGGCGTTGCCAAATTTCACTCGACAAAACACGAATTTCCTGGCGAACTTACAAATATTTGCTATCAAATTTTTTTACTAATTTTCTTCGCAATTTCACCTAATGTTCCTGAAAATTTCAAGAACAAATATTCATAAATTTCCACAGAAAATAGTATTTTATCAAAGGAAATTTGGCAACTCTTGAATGTTCATATGACGTTCTTCCTTAGCACGGCAGAGTTAGCTCCGGAGTCTACTTCGCTTCGGGGAAACTTGAGTATTATGAATGGAATTGGACAATGACCTAAACTCTTCAAGAAGCTACGAAATTATTTTTTGTAGGGTGCAGCTCGGTCCACTGTGGAGCCGTGCGGTGCAGATCTCACTCTTTATTCATATTGTTCGAATTTTCTGACAGCAAAATATGCTCCGAAGTGAACTGCCATCCGTATCCAACTCAAAGATTTCTCACGGGGTGCTTGTTAGGTTGTTATCTCGCGATCATTTCAAGTATGCAATCGTATATCTTATTCAATAGGATCAACTACTAGGATTAGTACGGAGAAAACCACTTCAAACTCAACAACAGCGCTGTTTCACCTCGTTTGAACTGTTAAATTTGGGTCCAGAGTGAATAGCATGTTTTGCAAGCACATTCAAGAGTCAACCCATGTTAGTCCTCGTATCAATGAACTGATAGTTTTAATCCTTTGTCGGGAACTGTGCTCATTTTTTGGTGGATGTTAAGTTTCAATACTATTAACTCATTGCAGAATTGGTACTTGAGCGAGCCCTCGCTAAAAATGAATGAATAGGAGATAGGTGGACTTGTAAGTATACCCGCAAAGGAAATATGTTCATTTTCTTGAAGATAAGGTTATCTCGTACTGACACCATTCTGGAGACTCATTAGACAGCGTGCAAGATTCATTGGGGATATATTTGCCGAACTATGATTTGCGGGCACTACTTTTATCGACTAACTTATTCTTCCGCAGTAATATTAGGTGAATGGGTTTAGAAAACGGAATAAAAATTTACTGCTTTGTTTATACACTGTGATCTTATTCAACGGAGTAAAAAGGTAGACAGCTGGCAATGCGATGTTACAGCATTTGTGATCCTAAGTGCCACAATTTCATGAGAAAATGGAAGAGCTACACTGAGACACTTAGATAATCTTTTTGTCTTATTTGTCAGAATTTTGTGTTCTAATATTACGGCAATATCTAGACTTTGCGCCGATCATTCTGATCATTATACCTAGCAATGCCGCCAAATTATTGCCTCGGGTGAGGGGCGTTATTTTCTTTGACTCTGAGATAATAATTCGGCTACACTGTCACAATGATTAGTGAAGCCAGGATGTTGCCGCAATATTAAAACACAAATTTCTGACAAATATAAGAGAATACTTAGATATTGTCAAACTATCAGCTAGCGAAAAAATTGCAAATTCTTACCGATACAAAATCTGGGTCCTTCCCCAAAAGGTAGATATGATCCTGGTATGATCTTGTCAACGTTTTCCTCGGAAAATCGCTCAGGGTCGAATTTGTCGGGCTCAGGGAAATATTCTGGGTCACGGTGAAGACAGTAGGTTGAAACGAAGAGCTTGACGTCTTTCTCCACAACAACTGATGTACCCGGAATTTGAAATGGCTCCGTGCAATTTCTGCCTAGAAGTCCAGCGACCGGATGCTTCCGAAGAGTCTCTGCGTCAAATTCAAAATCGGATGAGAAAAAAGTTTTAAAGTATTTTTTTGCATTTAAATAAAATCATTAGCCAAAATAGGATAATCTGAGACGAAACAGAGAGGTTTTCAAAACAATCTGTCCTTTTTTGTCTAAAAATTGTTTTAGACAAAAAAGAGAGCGGAGGAGGGCGGATAGCCGTCGTCTAGACGTACCTAGACGGAGAGGAGGTTGAAGCTACGGAAGTCTATGTTTATCATCGCATATATTATCCTTGTTTAACTTACCATTAACGACCTGGTCCAGGTAACGGAGCTTTTTGAGATCTTCGTACTTGATTTCGCCGCCTGATTCTTTCCTCACGGCTTGGATCTCCTCGAAAAGCCTCTCTTGGATCTCAGGATAGTGAACTAATTCGAAGAGACAAAATATTGCAGTGGCGGACACAGGCTCAAGTCCGGCGAAGAGGAATGATGTGATGACTCCCGATATCAGATTCTCCGTCCAGAATAGCGGGCCTGCCAATTAAAAATCTCACATAAAATAACCCTCGAAAAGATCATCGAGGGAATATCGGAAGTTGGAACAAGAGGCGAGAGTGTCCAAATTGAGAGTTACTAACCCCTTACATACGAACGAGTCTATCTCTTGAAGATGGATTGTGTCGAAACTCTTTGAGATAAGGTCAGAAAGTGCGCAAAAACCTTCCGGTTATAGAATTAACAATCGGAGGTACCACGTGTACTCAAGAAAATTTTATCGGTTTCGATCTCCTTCATTATATTCTTTAAACTCATAATTGGGAAAAAACTGAGGCAACAAAATGTGCCGACTTAACATTTAAGGCGGTATCCCCTTTTCGAACATGCATTTAAGTCGCTACTTACAATGGTAGAAGGATATCACCTGTACGGTTGCATAGTTGCAAATTTTATACATAAATGACCATAAGTTCATACCTTGCCTCCCACTCTAACTCTGTTTCTTTTTTCTGCACACGGAATGAAAAAAATATACGTATTGATACACTTATAAAAGCCAATAAAATATGATAAAATTGCTAAATGTTGCAAAATTTAATGAAAAATACGGAGCTTTCTGTTGGTTGGTGGAGACACACGAACAAACGAAAATTGTGATTTTTCACGAAAAGAAAGTACGGGAGAGGTCTTAGAGCAACCCTCTTGGATTGATCATGAGGATTTCTTGCACAAATGGACATATTTCTGTCAAATGGAACGAAGCGCCATCGGAGGAGGAAGGTAGAGGGGAGCTTGGATTGGCGGCAGAACCGGACGTCGGGTTCATTCGTTCCTATACTCGCAATGCTTTCTCATGGCGCGTAGTTCCGTTTGACAGAACGCGCTATCCGGCATTCTAAATTCCTCAAAAGGAACTCAAATTGGCGCTTTGTTCCGTTTGGCAGAAATACGTCCAAATATTAAAGAATATTTCTTAGAGGTAGATTTTGAAAATGTTCTCGGAAAATTCGGTGGCAAAATCTTTCTCAATTGGTAAATTTGCGGGGTAGTATTTTCATAGTATAAGGGTAGCTAACACAAAAAGAAGAGCTTTATTTCAGGGATACGATCAACTTAGCTTGGGTTGTCTCATGGTTTTCTTCAGATTTTGCGGCGATATAGATAAAGTCAGAGACTTTGTGGCGAGGCTAAATTTGTATCGACTCTCATTGAATTTGTAAAGGATTTCGGCCATTCAGCTGGAGAGCAGCTCTTCTGCGACGAAACGTCATTTGTTTTCTAACGAAATCGAATCCCCCAATCGGAACTCATGTCCCGGATAAAATTGCCGGAATTACGTCTACTGTATCACATATCATGCGAATCACGGCTACCTTCATCGATGACACCGCCATCCAAGAGCGTAAGGTCCTCGTTGGAGTCCCGGGTAACTTCGCTCTCGGAGCTGCTGATTTTCATGAGGATCTGGAGAAAGTCCTTCCTGTTGGACTGCCCGGCCTTGGTCTTCATCTCCATTGCGTCCTTGGTGATGGCCATGAGGAATTGCTCTATGGCCGGCTGCCTCGGCGATAGACCGAACAACTCCGGAAGCTTAGGATGGACCACCTCCATCAGCTGGTAGCAGGACTGTCGCCAGCTGGATCGGAACAGCTCTCGCAGGACCTTGAATTCAATTGGACCTATCCGTAATTTAAATGGCTCCGAGGTATACCTAATACATGACATGATTGGACGTCTATAAGCAACTTAGGTCCATGAACAAAGGCAATTTTGAAAAATGACGGACAGTCCAACGAAAAGCTTTGGTTGGTATACGTTTTTTTTTTCTTTTACAGAGTGATCCTTTCAGTTCACCGACGTCCATAAATCTTTAAGTGAAGCTACAATCGCAATACATTCGCGCTGAAACTACAACCTCTTCTTTTAAAAAATGGACGGCTGAGGTGAATATTAACATGGACAGACTAGATGACATGGACTACTCAGATTGAAAGTTTTGTGAAAAGGATGATGTTATTTTCTTGCAAGCCAATCTCTGAGCATGCGACTATTTTTAAGTAGATGAACCGTCATTCAAACAGTCTAGATTGAGGCAAACCATACAGGATAGCTTACAGGCTGTAAATCGTAAATCTCACTCTGTGTCAGCGAGCCTTCATTTCACCGATTAGGCAAAAACAAACTCCCATGCTTCAAAGATAGACTGATTAACTGACCACGGCATTCGATGGTTCCACAAAAAACAAATAAAAGGTTTTTGTAGCGATCGTTTTGCCGAGCTTTTTCAGAGGAGCATAATTTGACGGTGGTATATCAAATGTCGCAGTCACTAAATCGGTCGTTTGCAGCGGTTCCTAAGTGTTGGTCTGCGGACCGTCGCTTAGTGGTCCGTGAAGGCTCGCCGAAAATTTTTCGTCCGAAAAGTCGAATTAAAAAAGGACAAGACTAAGAAAAAAAAGGAAGAAAAAACAGTTCGTTCAATTTTGTTGGTAGTCCGCGGCCGAAAAAGATTGGAAATTCATCAGAGTATCAATCATTTCAGGATTAGGGTTATATTAACGACAAGAAACCAAAAACAAGAAATCGAAAATGGCTTACCGTTCTCAAATGGAATTCTCACGTGTGTCAGGAATTAGCAATTTAAGTACTGGTTCCTTCGTAAAATTTCGCAAGAAACACGATAGTGCCACTGGTTTACTCTGAAACAAATTCCAAAGCTCAAAAAAGCTCCTGAAGTTCAGGCAGTAATGGAGGGGATATCCCACGTTACCCTGAGAGTCCACCTCTGACTTCGAACTTTCCATGTGAAGATAAGGAGTAAATACATTAGCAGGGTTGCAGTGTTAGAGTCTCCGAACGAAGTGGCAACCCTGTTAAAATATTTTCTCCCCATCTTTACATGGAGAGTTTGACTTGACATAGAGATGGACTCTGAGGGTAGCGTGGGATACTTCCTCCAATACGGCCCCAACTTTGAGAGCTTTTTTTGAGCTTTGGAGTTTGTTTCAGAGAGACAAACCAGTGAAAAACCAGGAAACCAGTGGCATCCGTTTCTCGCGAAATTTTACGGCGAATCAGTAATAAATACGTAATTTTCTGACACATGCAAGAGTTTCTTTGTTATCTACATTATTTTTGCTATTGAATTTGAATAGAATAAGAGAATCACCCTTTTCATCTCGCAGTTTTCCGGATCTTGGACTGCATTGCATTTGATGCCCATGGCGCAAGCCCCTATCACGTCCAGCGTGTAGTTGATCACGAGGTCTTTGATGTCGACCTCCGTTTCGCCCCGGCTCGCGCACCGCGCCTCCAAATGAGTATTGCACTCTTCGGCGCAGTCTTTCAAAGTTTCGTACATGATCTTCAGCTTGGCCGAACTGAACGCTGGCGACAACTTGTGCCGTACCTGAAAATACAAATACCACAACAATGAAATGCTTTTCAATTGAGGAGTTTTCCGGAAAAAGGGTGCATAGCAAAAAATAGCGTTTGAGAAAAATGTATTTTAAGTTTCCATCATTAATTTCTGGCCACTGACGGTACCTTTCATCGCAGCTTGGACTCCCGATTTCGAAAAGAAGTCACTGTCAGTGACCGTAGAGTAATGACCAAAACTTCAAATGCAATTCTCTCAAACGCATTTTCGCCATGTGCTCTTCCTCCAGAAAGCTTCTCAATTGTTATGCCGCGTAGCGCACGAAAAAATGAGGATTTAAAAGCGAATATTTAGTGGACATATTCGGGTAGATCTTTTAAGACGTATGAGAGCTCTTGTGTCTCGTCCTCCTGAAAAGTCTTGCTCTAATTTCTACTGTAAGATGATACACTTTTGTGATAAAGTTGGTTATTGAGCAAGAAAGAGTATATACATGACGGCGGACCAGAGTGAAAATTTTCGGACGTATTGAAATTGTATTAAAATAAAATTGTATCTTTACTCTGACATGTACAATTGTCAGGGTAGGTACAGATACAATTTTTTATTTTTATGCTATTACACGCACGAGATGAGTGTACCGCTGATAAATCCCTTACAGAACTGTTGACGCCAAGCGCGTTAAACTACGGGTTATTTCAACTCCTACTGAGTAAAAAATGTATGCAGGAGTAGTGGTGGAATGAGCTCTCAGATTTTTCACCAGGACCATAGATAGCACATCGGGAGCAGTTGCATCAAGTGCCATCACGACGGAGGAGCTAAATTTGGGGGGGGGGGGTAAAAAGGAGAAAAAAAAATAAGAATGAAGAGAACGGAAAAAATAGGACGAAATAGTTTTACATTCGTAACCCCAAAATGTAGCTTGTATTGCTTTAGAGTTTAAGCACGGTTCCTTAATTCCTTTTGGAGTGGCGCGAGGAAAATGTCGTACTTGCCTTACAATTGGAAACGCCTCAAAAAATTACGAGATTTCATTTATGAGTGAGTTCAAAAACTGTGAGAAAAAAATGGAGCCTGAGGATTATGAAGGCTACACTTTTTTGTTCTAGTTTAAGTGCACTATGTAGGTACTAGACAATCGGCACGAGGCCACTTCAGCCAAATTATTAGCAATTAGGTTAAATAATTGATTAGATTAGAGAGGCACTGAACTTTTAAGAGGGCAATCACCTCTCAGAGAAGAGCCAAACTTTTGATTATACCTTGCGCTGATATTTGAGTAGGTATGTATCATTCATTTAAGTATGTCGACGGTTCAATCCGCAACCACGTATCTCGGTTTGCGACTTTACAGACTTCCTGTTATACTTTACTTAATAAATAGAACACTACTCAACGTCAACACATGGAAACTGCTGTGATTTTTCGTCTTTGTGCGAAGAAAATTCCACCATAACCTTCCGATTTGAGGAAGAGGGATGGATAGCTTTCAAGGGTAAAAGGGGTGGTGGAGGGGCCGAATGGGACTTATGTCGATTTGTTCTCCTTTGAAAAAATAGAATAGGTTGTATTCGACCGTAAAATAGGTCGATATTCTTCGATGGCGATAACTGAGCGTGATTCAGGGATTAGTCACCAGATAGCGCAAGTCATCACTGCCGTTTTGCAAGCATTCATAGGTGGGTATTCAGATACCCAAAATTCTGTGGTACCCCATGTGTTACGTTGCCAGTCTTAAAATTCGGAACGAGGGCGTATGCCCGGAAAAGCAGTTTCGAGGAAATCGCATTTGAAAGTTCAAAAGTGTGTAACTGTAGTAGGGCGCCACAGGGGCGCGTTTGTGGGAAAAACATTAAATTTGAATGAAGCTACTTATTGTGAGAAAAAGCTCTGCCCCTAACGGTAACTATTCCTTAACATTTCGAGTTTCCCAAGTACCGAAAATTGTGTCCAAATTTCCATGCACGAAGATGATTTTGGTTCCATCCGCACGTAACCAACTCAAACTGAGGAGCGTTATTCGACTTATGTTTACACGGACTTCAGCACGCATCGATACTTCTTATCTGAGGAGATACCCTTACCTTACCCTAATCGCACGTCCCAAATGAAGTGTGATAAATAAAATAGGAGTGCATTTAACGCCAGAAATGAGAGCCACTGTAATACTGCCAAGTTAACTCGAAATCAATTTTTTCACAGTATTGAAGAGGCACTACCCCTCCACTCTTAAGGAAATAGGTTTTGGGTGTAAATATTTTCTGAGCTTAAAGTATCTGAAGAGGAAATGAAGGGTCTTACCCTCCGCCATCTGTCTCCACCAAGCTGAAAGAGATTCCCGGAAAGTTTGTCAGCTTTTTCGTTGGGTTCCGGCCCGCGATCGTGGAAGCTGGAGAAGCCCTTGACGAGCCACTCCTTGATCATGGCTGGGTCTCGGAGGATGATTGACGGCTGGAGCATCTGGAACGCGCCCCCGTACTTGTGCCCCTTCAATAGTCGGTGCTGCTCAGCGAATATTTCTGTTATACTTTTCCGCTTGAAGAAGAAAGCTAGATCCTGAACTAAGCACTTCAAGGCCGGCAAGTAGGGCACTCCACGTCGTGACCAGTAGCTCAGCTTTTCCTCGAGGTAGTACCATGCCAATAGCCCGATGCTCACAAAAATTAGCACCGAATTCAGGGGTAGTGGCAACAGGCTTGTTAACAGCTCCATCAGGTTCCCTGGCAAAAATGTATCGGCATAGTCAGGGTTATCCAAAAGTAACATACCACCCCTGTAACTTTTTTCCTAATTGAGATAGAAGTTTGAAACTTGGGGGATGTTCCTAGGTCTAAAGTAGCAACTTTTTGCCCCCCCCCCTCCCGGACGAAGTTACAGGGGTGGAAGGTGACTTAAAAACAACCTTATGTAATTCTACTGATGTAAAGTATAGTGTCAAAATGTGTGGGCCAAAAATGAAAAATTATTACAAAGAAAAAGGTACACATTTTTGCCTTAAATGAATTGCAGCTGGGAAATTTCAACCAATAGAAAACAGCCCCCAAACACACTCGGGCAAAAAATGAACATATGTACTGGTTTATAGGAATGTCATTACAGGTGTCACGTCGTTTGCTAGTTGCCACTTGTTTACATTCCAATTGCAAACGACCGCGATGCAGTCGTCCAATAGAGATCAAGGATTGACTATGCGCTCACGATCGGGTCGCGGTCAATCCTCGATCGCTATTGGACGATTGCATCCCGATCGCTTGCAAGCGAAATGGAAAAAAGTGCCAACTTATTATTGGCACTGACGACACCTCTTATTTAATCCTACAAATGAGTTAAGAGAAAAATATTTGAATTCAGAACGATTTAAATTTAAGATGGTAAGTGCATGTGCGGTGGTTCACAACTCTTTTTTTGAGTGACGAACTGGGGCCGTTCAAATATTACGCAAGGCATTTTTGCCAACTTTTTGACCCCTACCCCACCCCTCCCCGGCACCTGGAAGATATCTCTGACCCCCTCCCCTTTTGGGTGAACGCAAGATTGGCCGGGGTTCCCCTCATTTTTCAGAGAAAAACGGAGAAAGCCTGGTAAAATAGTTGGAATAAATGGAAGGCTTCCGTAAAGATATTGTGACGAAAATCGACAAAAAAAGGGGCAAATAATTGAAATGTAATTGTCAGGGTGTTTACCAGTTATAAAAAACCAAAATTGTGGACTTTCAGGGGTGTTTTTTCAAGAAAATAAGAGACAGTTTTACCCGAAATAGTAAGAGAACAAATTTTCAAACATACAGCGGAAAGCTCACGCAAGACTCGGCTTGACCCCCCTCCCCCTTCGTAAGGCTCCGTAAGAGTATAAGACAAGCTCAGATCCCCTCCCCCCTAAGTGCTTCACGTAATACTTGAACGCCCCTTATCCGAAAAATGTATTTTTTAAAGCTATATTCGGCCTTTTTCATTATTTCCTGAGAAAATTGAGTGGGGGGGGGGGAGGGGTCAAAAAGTCGATCAAAATGCTGTGCGTAATATTTGAACGTCCTTATCTAAAGTGAAGGATTCTCTACCCGAGGTATACTTTGTATGTAATTATGGTTGCGAGGCACACTGCTACTTAAACGTGGAAAGATAATGGCACTTACTTGTTATCGTTGTTTCTAGCACTAATTAATTAGAACTGATTGAAAATACATGAAAGCACGACTTTTTGTGGCTAGGGTGGTGAGGCCCTATGACAATTACTCTCGCGATTACTCATTCAAATGGTCAAAGATAACATACAAGAGTATTCATTACTGAGTTTTTGAGAGCACGAGCACCTTTACACTATTAAATGTATGTCGTTAACGACCACACCGGTCTCAGCGGCGCGACGCGACGACGCGGCGCAGCGCGGCACTAGGCGTCCTGACGCCTTTTTCAATGTCATGTTGCCAAATGTCCCGTAAACAAGCTTCCCTTATATTGTGTCCTTTGATAGGATGAGCATAAATGTGGGCTAAGTGGCAACATGGGATTGCAAATCAGTTGAGTGGAGACCAGCGCTGTCAAACACCTACAGAGGAGCCAAAAATCAGGTCAAGTGGGAAGACGGCGGATGATTCAGGAGGGATACGTATAACGTATCGGCGGTCTAACTCTAAGAACGCGTGCCTCTTTTACGGTGTTTCGAATCTCCGCTCCTATTTAATTCCGTCAAAGGAGAACGAAGCACCACCATTACTTGAAAATTTCACAAAAAAATTCTCTCACACAAGAGGACTAATCAGGGAATATTTCAAAAAATTAATTTGAGTAAGAACTTTTCCATTTAGAAAATAATGGCAGAAAGTTTCCAGCGCTGCAAGCCGAGCTATGCATTTTTGCAGCTTTACCATCAATAATTTGAAACACGACAGTTCTATTAAGTTACATTTACGAGATAAATGGGTATACATTGCTCAATGGTATATTTAATAATTTGTTGGAGAATTTTCAATTATTCTTGTAATGACTGAGTTGGATCGGGAAACCAACTCAAAGATTTCTAATCAAAATGAATTTTCAAATTCAATTGGTGGCCTAAAATTTGCGTTTATATTTTCTTCTTACTCTCCTAGGAATAGAGTCTTAAGCTGGAAAAAATCGACTCAAAAAACATCACAGGAAAATTGAAAAATAATTTGATGCATAACCGGCGGCGGGTCGGTGCGAGTTGCGAACTTAAGATCCGTTTGTTTTGACCATAACACGAGACATGGGTAATTAACTGTACCAAGTGTGGCCCACGTCAAATTTTGAGGGCGCTCCAGCTAATGACAAAGATTCGTATTAACGGTAGCTGCTTCAACTGAACCTCTTTTGTAGGTACTCAGAGTCCCGATTTCTTTCACAAATATTTTAAGAATGCACAAGCCCGAGTATTTTTATTAAAAATTATGACTTTTGATCGGCATCAGTACATGTCGATTTTGAATAAAACTGGCTAAATGATTTATTTAAAGCATATTTTTAGTCATTTACCCCATGAATGACGACTTTAATGACGATAAGTTTAATGACGATTTTAGTTTTAAGTCAACAACGTGAGTGTACAAGTACCCATCTCCTTACATCTGACCCGCCGTTCAAAACTGATGCTCCATATTAAAGATTGGGCGCTATATTCGCTCCTCCAAAGCGTGATAGCTAATACTTGTTTTGGATCAATCAAAATCGGTTGCGGATACGGGGAGTAAATAACACCCTTTTAAATTTTGAAAACTAACCCCTCTTTAATCCGTGGGCCAAGAGTAGCCTGCGTGTTAGCTTGTTGGTTTTCAAAACTATCGCGTGACTGTTTAACTTTCATCTACATCTTAACCATCACTTCTACAAAATTTTTTTTCAGACGCGTTCTAAAAAAAGGAAAAGTTGTGTAATTTTTCAGCCGGGTTTAGGAAAAAGCCCCAAAATTATGAGAGGTTCTGACCCTGCACACACGATTTATCTAATAAAGTATCTCCTTCTGGTCCACATAGCTACCATTTTTGAAGATTTCTAGATTAGTACGGAGATTCCTCTCTGTTGAACTTATTTTCTTATCACGGAAATTCATCATGAAATACTCAGAATTTGAAAGGAAGGGCTACCGAGGGTGGAGACGGGGCGGACAGGGCGCAGCCTTTTAAAGTCTGGCTTCAGCATCACGTTACTCTTGAGAGAAGGATGGTCGCTGATGCAATGCCTACTGAAAATGTGGCTAGCTTGCGTAAGTACTTTTACACCCCGAGGTTAACTATATTTTGCATTGCATGATCGGCAAATTTCAGCCACGTTCTATCTGGCAGCCCTGCTTCAGCGTTTCACTCACAATTATTTGAGAGACAACTACGCATCAGCGATCAAGGTGCCAAGTTGACAAAAAATCCCCCAAATTTACAATAATGACATGCATAGTGACATGAGAATTTGCAGCGATGTGTCAACATTGTGAGCGAGTTACCTTGACGTCGCAGCGGCTCTGCTGACCAAAATAATAAACGTCAGCATTACTGCGGAGATCGTAACTTTGTGAAAGAATTGAATACATGATTGACACCCTGTAGATTGAAGAACTCTCTTTCGCATTTTGTCAATTTACCAGCAAAAGGGCTGTATTGATGTGTGAAATATACATACATACATGATAACTAGTTACAGTATATTTAAAGTCAATTCTACTACGTTAATTTATTAACACATTCATGACAAATTTGAAAATGTAAATTTTTATGCGCTTTTAAAGCATATTTTACTCCGTAATTTTTTTACTGGGTATTCCTACTATTTGCACTGTATAATCACGACAAGCGACGTTAAAGGATTAATTCGCCATTCCGTTGTTATCTGCACTAGATTAGTCCCATAATTCTGTAGGTAGGTGACATAAAAACCTTACAATACTTGTCGCAGGTTTTTATTCTTCTTATTCTCCTTAAAATACGATCTTAAAATCACCTACTTCATAACATTAAAATTCAGCTGGCTACGAACAATCTCACGCGAGAGTTGATGAGTTGCGCAGTTCGGGAACTGGACAGTTCGCACTTTCGCCATTATTCGGCGATGTGTTTGCCCAGTCCGTGAAATTGGTAGCAATTCAATTCCAATCCACACATTGGGCAAAAGCTCGTATCATACGATCAAAGTAGAGCTCTTACAGTGGCGTCACGTGAAGTCACTTCGAGGGCTATACTTTGATCGAAAGATACAGGCTAGAGGAACTGACCCACCGACGGATTTCATAATGATTATTACGCACGAAAATGATAAGTATCTAACACACAAGAAATTGAGGAAAATTAATACTTTATGTAATTTATGTCATGTAAATAAATTTTTAAATTGATTTTCTATCAATTTCTCCAAAGAGTTTTTCAAAGAACGATCCCGATCGATAGATGTGCAGGTATTTTAAAAAAGAGACATGACTAACTGATTAAAACAGGGCAATCCTCTGGCAACGATACCTATCCATCGAAGTTTGTTCAACACATATTTCTAAGGGTGGATATTAAAAAATCACTATCGTGACTTGGATTTGGTAGCTATCTACCTTACTTACCTCGGTCCAAAACTGGGAGCAAAAGGCCCACCATGAAAATCTGAAATTCGTCGCCAAATCAGAGGGCGAGATTTTTCTTGGTAAAGAAAGGCTTGAGGGATAAATGGTTCTTCTACATAGGCATTCAGTTATTCGAGAGGTTTCTTAGGAATCTCTCACAAGGGAATGAAAGAAAGCGTCAGGCGGTTCCTTATATTTCTGAAAGTTCAGCACGCACACCCGTGGAACACGTAAAGTCGCATCAAGGCGCCAAAATCAACTCAAGGTAGCCTTTGCAAAGCCGAAACATCATCAATTTGCAAATGACACGCAGACAAAAAACAAAAAACTAAGATAGAAGCATTTACATAAAATATAAAAAATTCTCGTGGGAAAGTTAGAGGGACTGAAGATTTTTTTGGGGAAACCTGCTCTATATTGTCTAAAATTATACAAAGTTACGAAGATGACCTTGGCATCCAATAGGGTTATGTATAATTGTGAATAATAACGCCTCGGGAGCAATTTTGAGTTATTTCAACAAAAAATGATCACGTTACAATTTCAAAGATAAATACTAAATCAAGCGCTTGCATGGAACAAAAGCTCTCAGAATTTTTAGTCAGAAAAAGAAGACTTCTATTGGAAGAGCAGGCGACACGTCCCTATTCCCCATTCCGCAAATTATGACTGGAATTCAATAATCAAGAAAGATTCAAAGGCAACTCAAGCTTCAAATTAAAATTTACTATTAAAGGAGGGGTATCGATAAGGGCCTTTTTTGGCCCCCTCCTAGAATCTGGAAAATAATGAGGGTTTTCCAAGTTGACTCAATGTAGTTAGCCCATAGGCCACTGGATACGTGTTAAACGGATGCCTGAACATAGGTCTGCAGGCGTATTTTAGCGAAAATTCGTGGTTTTCTATCACTCCGAGGCTTTTTTGACACCGAGCGCATCGTCTAACTAAAACGAGCTTTTGATATGTTATTAAGGAGGCTTTAGGACACATTTTATCCTTGCTTATATGGTTTTAGTTAGATGATGCGATCATAGTTTAAAAAAACTTTTTCAAAAATCGACGTTTAAGGGACATCCGCAAAAATCCTGGGGAAACACGTCTCTCGAACTGTATGCACGCTAAGTATATTATCGAGGGCAGTTATCGAGCCTTGTTAGACTCTTACAAGGAGATTTTCTTCAATTGTGTCAAAAAAAATGGAATTTTCCTTACGAACAGCTATGAAGATAAAGGATTTTGGAGTAGTGGAGGCATATTTTCACTAATAGCATAACTTCAACTTAAATCCGGAAATGTATGCGGGTTTTCCGAGTTGACTCATTGTAGTTTACGGAAATAATCATGATTTAGCCCATAGGCCACTGGATACGTGTTAACCGGTTGCCTACACATAGGTCTGTAGGCGTATTTTAGCGAAAATCCGTGGTTTTCTCCGGGGCTTTTTTGACACCGAGCGCATCGTCCAACTAAAACGAGCTTTTGATATGTTATCAAGGAGACTTTAGGACACATTTTAACCCTGATTTGGTTTTAGTTAGATGATGCGATAATAGTTGGAAAAAAACTATTACAAAAATCGTCGTTTAAGGGACATCCGCAAAAATCATAGCAAACACGTCTCTTCAACTGCATGCACGCTAATTATATTATCGAGGGCAGTTATCAAGCCTTGTTAAACCCTTACAAGGAGATTTACTTTAATTGTAGCCAAAAAAACCTAACGACGTAATTCTCTATGATTTTTGCGGATGTCCCTTAAACGTCGATTTTTGAAAAAAAAAAAAATTTTAAACTATGATCGCATCATCTAACTAAAACCAAATTAGGGTTAAAATGTATCCTAAAGCCTCCTTGATAACATATCAAAAGCTCGTTTTAGGTAGACGATGCGCTCGGTGTTAAAAATGCCTCGGAGTGATATGAAACCACGGATTTTCGCTAAAATACACCTGCACACCTATGTTTAGGCAACCGTTTAACACGTATCCAGGGGCCTATGGGCTGAATCATGATTATTTCCGTAAACTACAATGAGTCAACTCGGAAAACCCGCATAAATTTCCAGATTCTAGAGGGGGCCA